ATTTTATTATTTAGTTGTTTCTTTGTGTTAGTGACCAACGTTTTGTCAAGCTACAGAAAAATGTACGGAACTCCAGTTTGTAATTCTTTCTTAAAAGCTAAGTTATTTACACATTTTTAATGGCATTGAACAGTAATGATTATGTACCTTGCAATTTCTGTGGGCTTTGTGTACTATTATGCTACTTTTTGAGGTGGAAACCTTTTTTTCATACAAATCTAGAGCACATGCTTTGTACTACCTTCAAGTCTTGTTTCTGGATGTCTTTATAAACAATCATGACTGTGTTATGTTACTTGCTGCTGAGAGCAGCTGAGAACTGGTTAATCTGTGTTGTATATAAAGTTTTGTAGTGAAACAATTGACGAGTCATCTCCTTTTTTATTAGGTATGTTAGTGTAGGCCTTGACTGTGAGGAAATGTTAGGATTTCAAAAATGATAAGGTAGTAGGAAACAAAAGCTATCTTTTATATAGTTAAGAGGTATGAAAGTTTCTGGGAGCTGAATTATAATTGGTATATACAGCAAATATAGGTATATATGCCACACAGATGAGCAAGTACTACAGCAAAGCAGTGCACTGGTAGTGAGTTGGGGGGGGGGGCATAGCTTTGCTAATTGTCTTGCTAAATACATCTCTCACAATTTCATGGAAATGTTTACAAGTAAACAGATACAAGTCATCACCTCTGAAGCAGCAAAACAGGCTTGGACTGTCACGTCATTTATGATTTATACAACATGCAACCATACAACATGTTAGGAACATTATAATTTCTGTTACATGAAGCTTTGTGCCTTCTACATTCTGGTAGGACAGTGCATCTTCTCCATTCTAAATGGGAATGTACTGTCAAGACATGTACTTTCAACATCCATAAATTCAATAATAAGCCATACCATTACTACTTTACTAGTGTTCAAAAAATAGAGACTTATATTTGAGTGCATTAGCTAAAATGTAGGGTTTAAAAGACATCCCCATGCTCAAAAGTCTACTAAAATGATAGTATTAAAGAAGGATAAACCTGATTAAACATACAGTTCAGCAGAGAGGATTTCAGAGAGCATCTGCCATCTTTCCTCAGTTCATGTGATCAGGGGGTTAAAGGTCAACACAAGTCAGGTGATAGTCTACACAGGTGAGGTCTACTGGAATGAATTATACTGAAAAATGTAAACATTCACTGGACTTACTAATTAGCAATAGGCAATGCACTGATCTAGGGTAAGTATTGACATCAGAACAAGAACAGTATGACATGTACTAGTATGTAACAGCAGAAAAACATCTCCACAGCCATCACAGTAAGTGTTTCAAACGTCTACACAAAGATACATTGACATACATGTATACTGGTACAGTGTACAAGGTTAGGTGTAGAGACACTGGTCACCAGAGTAATCTTCTTGGTCAGTTTTGACAGTAGTGTTATACATAACATTGATGGTATGGCTCTTCAAATCAGACACCACAAGCTGACCCTGTGTTGCTATGGCAACAGCACATGGCTGTGCCAGGTCTGTAGTGATGTGTTGAAGGAAGCGACCTGTCTTGTCAAACATCTCCACACGGCTGTTTCCACCGTTGACCACAATGACGTTACCTGTCCTGTCGGTACACAGACCCATAGGACCCTGCAGCTGACCATCACCACTTCCCCCAAACTGGAACAGAAACTGTCCATCCTCGTTGTAAACATGGATACAGTGATTGCCACAGTCTGACACAAAAATGTTCCCTCCCCCATCCACAGTGATGTACCATGGGTGCTTCATCCTCTGCTGCCTTGATACTAGGGATGCTAGTGAGTTCTTCTTCCCTCCCATAGCTCTCACAAGCGTTCCATCTGGCCTGAACACTCTCACTTCACCATGCAGGTTGTCCCAGTTTCCTGTAGTTTGTGTGATGAGGATGTGGTTCCTCCTGGAGTCCACAGCAACTCCTCTCACCCACCCTGTCTTCTGTAGGTCAATCTTTGTCACCACCCTACCCTGTTTGGTGTACTGCACAGCAAACTCTGCCAGTTTTGTCTCCCCCACCACCCACAGATTCCCCTTTCCATCTACAGCCACGTTGTTTGGTTCCATCTTCTGTCCACCTGACACGACTGTTGGGAACTGGTGAATAAACGTTCCCTGCAGGGTGAAGGCTTGGATTCTCTGGTTCCACCTGTCTGCTACAAAGATCTCGCCTTGCTCTGACACGGTGACACTAGCGGGGAACTGGAGCTTTCCTGGTTTTGTGCCCTGTCCTCCAAATGTTAGTGCTTGTGTTTGTGTTTGTGAGTGTGACTGGACCATCACATGTCCCAACACTGGCACTGAATGTGTGGGATGAAAGGCAGCAGGCTGGGTTTGTACAGGAGTTGGTGCTGTTTTTCCTCTGTGCATTGCCATGACTCCTGTTAGAATAGTTTCCTGTTGGAGAAATTCTACTCCTCCTGTCTTCATTTCTTCTTCTGCTTGATCACAGGCAGCAGACAGTTCCCTGGAGTCAAATAGAAATCTGCCCTTTTCTTTCCTTATCATTTCCATGTTCTCCTTGTCATTTTCCTCAACTCTTGACAACAGATAGTCCCTGCTTTCAGTGAGTTTCTGCACCATTTGGTTGTAAGCCTCCATAATGCCATTGCTTGTCTGTTGTTTCTGTTCTTTCAGGGTTTTCTCGTTGTCTATCAGACTTTCAATAAAAGCGTGGTAAGTCGCTACGTTGTTTCTCCCTTCATCGATAAGCACTTGAACCGAGGCCTTCCTTTCTTCTGCGGCCTTCTTCAGACTTATGGTGGAATGACTGCTGTGCTTGTTATCCAAACATTCATTACATACTGGCACATTACATTCTTGACAGTACAGCTTGATTTCTTCAGATGGATGCAAGGGACACAGATCTTTCTTCAACTCCACCTTTTTCTTGTCATCTTCTTGGATTCTTGTTTGCAGACTTGTAACCAGGAGGTTGTTTGGGAACGCTTGTACCCCCTGGGGTGGTTTTCTTACCTGCTTTCGGCAGACTGGACACTGGAAGGTGGTTTGACCGACTGTAAGGTGCTGTAGACAGTCCTGGCAGAAGGTGTGCTGACAGGGCAGCACCTTGGGCCTGCTGAACAGCCCTAGGCAGATGCTGCAGGTCAAATCTTCCTGGATTTGTGTCCCCAAACTTGACGATGCGGCCGCCATTTTACTTCCTCTTTTTCAGTCTTGTGACTACTTATCCTGTGACTTTGCATTACGTCAATTGTTTCTGTAATGACTAACAGGTTTGTTTGCAAATAAGTCATAGTTCAGTTGTGCTAAGGTAATTACTGGCTTTGTTTGCATATGTAACGTTTAAGGTAACCTGGCAAAATTAGCATATCAGTCCACTGTCCAAAGTTTGCCTGCAACAATCATTTACAGTTCTATCTCTGTAATTTTTCCTGAGCTCTATAGTATAATTAATTAATTGTAGCTGGAACATTTCCAGTGATTTTATCACACTGCGTATTTGGCAGCAACAACTCAGGACAAAGTCCACTAAGGATTTACGATCTTTGTCCCTGGCCATATATGTAACACTTATGAATTTACAAAGTGCTATTCCTACTGAACTTTGAATCTTGGAAAGGGAAAATTCTCAGACGAGTCTATAGTTAAGGGAGGGATTTATAGTGTGTTGTGTGTTGAGTTTATAGTGTGTTGAAGTATAAATATCAGTATAGAATATCTGTTGCCAAGGAGGATTACTGAACTTCCTGTATTAGTGTTGCATAATATGTGATCATCAAACATGTCCACAGACTCACTTTACAATAAAATTAAACATTTATTAGTTCATGACAAGAGACATTTGATACAGCTTCAGTATGGCACCAACATTTCACTTCTTTGTTACATAAGGAAAGATCTGGTTAACTGCAATACAAGTAATGAAGAAACAAGAATCCAAGCTTCAATTCAGCACCAACCTTATTTTACCTGGGTACCATCGTATTTGTAGTGGGGCACCCTGCACTCAAATATTTGCAAATTGATTTTTTCAGGCCAACAAGTGCAAGGAGCCTGTTACAAATCGGATAGCACCCAGGCTAGGAGCGATTGGGCCAAAGCAATATTATTGCCATGTTATGTTGCAGATACATTTGTAAGTTGATCACCTACAATAGACTTTGTAGAGAAGACATTTGCGCAGGCTATTTGACATGCAATTGCACAGAACGTTGACACTTTTTTTTTACTACATTTTCAACCCTTTTGATGCAATATGGCAGATTCTTCAGGGCTGGCATGATTTTTGTCGAATCTATGGCAGCTACAGCTTAAATAAAGCTTTCTTCCAACCTTCTTGTAATTTCAGTAGTATAGGTTGACCCTTTGCTGGCATGATAACCAAAACATGTATCTCCTAGTTTAGGACATCTCAATCTACATCATCATCATCTCCAATATCTGGACATCTACAAGTAACATTTTAATTTCACAATTGGCATGTATGTTTTTAAATTACCATTTCACCGAGAATTGTGCATTAACAACAAAGCAGTGTACAGTGTTCTTACAGTAACAACAAAATTTGTATTTTGATCTGCATTTCACAGAACCATTTGATACTGCCACATTTTCACATAAGTCCATGAGAAAATCATTTCTAAAAAAAATTCACATGCCATTATTTTGGATCCAATGCAATTTCAGGGCAATAAAAGTGGATTTTCAAAGTTATGATTAAGTTTCTGGTCATATTTTTATTGTACATGTAGTAAGTTGCAAAATTGAATTGGATGCTTTTTAACATACTGAACACTAAATTTCTACAGATGCATATACTTGGAAGATTTACTCCATCCATGGCACTTTGACAAAAATTATTTCCTCAATCAAATATCATCAAATTAAGGCATTCACATATCAATGCACAGGAATACAAAGCAATTCTCTACAATACGAGAGTAGTCAGCTTTCCACGGAGCTTTGTTACATGCTGTTAGCTGCAAATCGTTTTTTGTTTCATCTGTGCAGGCTGACACCTAGCAGCTAGGAACTGAACTGCAAGAACTTGCACCTTTTACTTGATCACAAACTTCACTGATTCTTTTGGTATTTCTTTTCGTAATTTAGGATACCTGGGATACATGTGCATTGACATTTTTACTATATCCCCATTTGAAAAAACACATTTTTGAATATCATTTGACACATTTAACATTGATTTCAGAAGGGCAAGAAACAGGACAGGAAACTGTACAATACGTTTAAAAACACAATCACAAGTCTGTAGGATATGATATTACATGTACAGCACAGAAACCCAATCATGACATATTTGTATAAATATCTCCATGTACAGTTTGCTCATGGCTACCTTTGCTACGATGTGTTCTTCGTTAATAGAACTTCTTGCTGGCTGCTTCTTGCCTGCTTCTGTGATACATGACAAAAACATGGGTCAGTCAGAAAATGTCATGTTGTAGTTAAGAAAGTAAAGACATACTGTATAATGGTTGAACGTTTGTGGTGGGTTTTATTTAGGGGGGAAAAGGAGGTTTTCAGTGTTTCAAATTTGCAACTGAAACAATTGTAGTAGAGTAGTACAGTAAGTCATACAAGGAAGACTTGTTTAAAGTGTCATGAATTTTACGTTCAAAACTTTCACAATATACAGTCTATTAGAGGCTAGGACAGTAGGTTGTTAATCTACCATGTCTTAGGCATGGTATTGAAGGGCAGAGTACATCCCTTTCCTTCCACCTCCCCAACCAAAGTCAGGTACCCATTCACATCTGGGTGGAGTGAGGAAAGCTATGGAATATATAATATATAATACATAATAGCATAGAACAAGAAGAAGAACTCACTTGTAGGTTAAGTAGAGAACAAACATGGCCGACTGCACCACTATTAGAACCAGGAAGTACATTGGTGTGATGCATTGTGGGTACTCAGGAACGGGGGGACAGGATAGCTGCTGGGAACCCTGGGAAGACGGAAACGGACATGTAAGATCCAAGCATCTTTTCAAATATATATATTATCTAGTACTTTGACTTTGCATCAAGACAATATATTACCAGTGCTTCCAACCTAGAGACAGCTGTTACCCCTTCCCTACACAGCTTTTGTATCATGGCAGAGGTTGGACAATATATTTTCTGTTTTCAGGAAGAAAAATAATTTAATTTTGTATCAACTGCAGCAAAATCAACCAATGAATGAACACTTCATCTTGTTTCAGTTCAGTTTCTTTAAGTTGTAGATTTTCTTATGCATTTTTATCTTAATATTCAATATTGTGAACTCTTCTGTTATATCAAAGGCTATTAAAACCCTTTTGTAATACACATGGCTAACAGAGAATCAAAATCAATAAAAAAAAGCCAGTGTTACTGACAGGTCTCTGTATGAGGAGTGAGCTGACATCCCTCTTGACGTGATGCAGGTTGTCCCTCAGCTCAGGCAGAATCCCGGGATCCAGACCCTGACCTTGACCCTGACCCTGACCTTGGTTCTGCATCTGTCGCTGCTGGTTGGTCTCAATTGTCGCCGCTCGGTTGTGGATCGTGTCAACTTTGGATCTGTTGTAAAAAAAGTGGGGAGAAACAAACAACATCAAAACCTGGGCAATGCTAACAAATTGTGCCTGATCCTACATCTATGTTGTTGTGGTTACCCATAGTGCCCTGTATCTCCCAGCATGCAATGGGATATGAAGAGGTTTACTAGTATTCCATGCATGCTGATTGGACTGCCTCTATGAGAGCTTGTGGCCATACATACCTCTAACTCGAGAGAACTACTCCCATTCCCAGAAATAGGAGCTTAGGATTCTTTATCACTATGACAATCAGTCATCACAGCCTTCCACCCAGTTCACAGTCTGACAATAATTGCTCCATATTAGCACATTGTATGTATACATAAATCAATTAACAACAGGATTAACATTAAGATGTTTCCAATTCTCCTGACACAGAAAAGTTGGCCATTAAAAACTTCTGGGGCCTGACCAGTGGAAGAGCTGCTACAGAAAGCATGATGTAGCCAGGCAATCCTTACCTGAGATCCCTGAGCCCCTGTGTGAGCTCCCTCTGTGCGGTCAGTACAGCGTCCACCTCGTGCCTCTGGATGGGCATCTGTGGCGGTGGCTGGGCCCCTCCTCCCGCTGGCACGGCCTGGACGCCGCCCGCCGCCGGCATGGTCTGCTGTACCGTACTCACCAGGGACAGTGTCCGCTCCTGCCGACCAACAATCTCATCCAGCTTTCTCTGCAGGTCCCTGTTACCATGGCAACAACTTGTTAGTTTTCCAACATATTTTTTGGAGGACTGGGCAAAATTTTGTAGACCTCAGATAAATATTTTTGGAACCATGAAGGATTGTAAGATGTAATTTAATCGGGTATTACACCACTTCCTGAAGGGGCTTAGTGGGTCACCTTCATGTGACCTCCCTATCAATCAACTGTCAAAATCACCTCCCACCCACAATACAACTGAAACCAATTAGGGCATTACTTCTGTACCTTGTAAATAACTAGAAGTTCAGCAGAAAAACAACAAACAAATGGAAGATGACTTGCCCTACCTCACTGTCTTGTGGATTTTCTCCTGTCCCTCAAAAATCAGCCTTAGTTCCCTTTCCTCCTCACGCTCAAACTAAACAAAAGCACAGTGTTTGTCAACATGTATGCCTGGTACCAAAGCATTGAAGCATAAATTAAATACATGTACATAAAAAATGACAACAGCAGGCAGGACTCAAAAAGTATTTCAGTGTGTTAAGTTCTTCACTTACCACAGCATCAAATTCTGCCTCCACTTGTGCATCAGGGTGTTCCTTAACGTACCTGCACAAAATAAACACGTCTTTAGCTTACATTTCATTAGAATAAGGATACATGTAATGATTTTACTCTAAGTCTATCCAGAATGAAGATATTGACAGAAGTGTATATTTAATTCCATCACACAACTTACTCTTCTCTCTGTTTCTCGAATTTCTGCTGGTACTGATCAAACTCCCCCGTGAATCTCTCCCTCTCCTCATCCGTGATCAGTCCTTCTCTTCCAGGCTGTAGGGAGCAAAACAGTAAAGATACAATCAGGATTACGTACTGTACATGTATGTCACACTGTACACATACATGTATGGATGTCCTACTGGTAAGGATGTCATCCTCCAGCAATGCCAATAAATCCAAGAATCGCACTAAAACTATCAGATATCTGATACATTTTTTAGTCTTACCTACTAAATACAGTTTTCGGGTTTTCATAGAGTGTCCATGTACGTTATTCATAAAAGTAGCTATTTACAGGGTACGTACCATTTCTGATGAGGGGGGTGTCAGGCTGTAGAACAGGAAGGACAGCACATCGTGGTCATCTGTGAAGGGAGGAAAAAAAATTAATGCTGCGTGCAATTTCTGTTACCCTAAAATGGCTTCATTGCCATAGTAGATTGTTGTGATTCAGTCAGGCACAAAAGTTCTAAATACCAAATCCCAACCACAAATGTACATCCTAGTTTACTCGATGGTATCTCTGCTGCTCTGAAAACCCCTAAAGTAGCCCCTCTTACCTGCTAGTCCTCCAGTGGCTGCTGAAACCCCAAAGAAGCCTCCCTTCTCGAGGTGAATCTCGTGGGCCTGCATGCACAACTCAAACTCATCCTTGTTGGGAGTCATTCCGTTGTTATACCACAGCTGAAACAACATAGGGGAGCCTATGAACCTTTATACTATATTATATATACCAAAAAAGAAACATAAGAAAATCTACATAAATACAGGCACATAAACCTTTTTTTCAAATGTTGAATGGTTGCACATAAAAGCAAGGCAATCAGAGATAATAGACATCACCCCCATGGCAGAACATACAGGAACTGCAGCACATGCGCACACACACACACACACACACACACACACACACACACACACACACACACACACACACACACACACACAGGCAAACACACATGATATACATACAGACAAACAAACAAACAAGCCAATACTTCACTCCCTTGATGCTGAAGTAACTAGTAAATAATATGAACATGAGGACACCTTAATTTTCCCCAGATTGTTAAGTGTGCAACCATGACTGACAAAGGATAATAAACGTTGTCGTACCGTGAGCCTGTTCTGGTAGTACTCAAGTTTAGCGCGGACGGGGTAGGGCTTGTTCCTGAAGTCTCGCAGACAGCCACCCAGCTGCTGGGTCAAACCATCACTAGAGAGGAGGCAAGAATAATGATCAAACTTTTAACATGGGGTAAAACATTTTAGTGTACTCTAGTGTGCTGCATACATGTAGTCTATGTTAAGGTTCTGTATGTATGTACAGTAATACATAGACATGATCAAACACATGCACCAACACTAGCACAAACACTTGCACAAACACTTGCACAAACACTTGCACAAACACTTGCACAAACACAGGCAAAAACACACAAACATACACATTACAGCAAGCCTATCGCATTCACACAGTCTACAAAGTTCTGAAGTTGGTCTTACTTGGCATGGTTGTAGGATTTGGTTCCATCGTTCTGCATTACCAGCACATACGGGTTATTGTGCTGCAGAAGAATGACAGAAATGCTGTTAATAAAATTTTGGCAGTTTGGAGAAAAAATCCAGAGCATGGCAAAAAATCAATACAATATCATTTGTCTCTAGCCGGGCAGTGTTAGTTAACTACCAGAGCAAGACTGTATCTCATGTACATGTAGTTTAGATTTTACATGTAGTTTACATTTTACGTAATTCCATCTCTAAACCTAAAGTGTGTCGTGAATAGACCAGTACTCACCTGGTTATCATTGTCAAAGGAGTCAAAGAAAACGCCAACTCCATTCCACCTGTCACTGCTGCCGTACACAGGTCCATCCACTCCTCGGGTCTTTGTGTACCAGATGGCCTGTACGGACAAAAATACAGTGCTGCATTTGATTTTAAAATAAATCTTGTGTATGTACATTATTATACAGTGCTGTGAAGCTGACCACTATCTGAAAAAGTTAAATTTGTAGGACTTTTGTCTACTCTTACCTGAAGTAATATAGCAGTTCTTGCAATAATAATGGAGTTCTGAACTCTTCTTACTAATGATGTACACATACAGTGGTCCATTTAACTTCTAGTGCAATATCACAGGATAGCCTTAATACAAGTACAATTATGTTACATACATAGCACTAGTCTAAATGTCTAGTCTGGATGCCAAACTGTTGTCAAGGCCAATACACAGGCTAGCCCCCATTTAGATCATGAGAAGCAGGGTCGAACCAAGGGAGCCTATGGTAATGTAAGGATCTAATATTCCCCCTATGGGAATGGTACAACCCGCCACCCCCGGTGGCAAGTGGTCTAGTCCTCCTTTGGAACCGGATTGATATAGTTGAGTTATCCACATGTTCTACTGAAGAATACACACTACTGCAAGTACACCTCTCGTCTCCTCTCATCATTCCCTAACCTTGGGGTGGGGGACAGGGCGAGGAAATGGTACGTTACACTGGTGGCAGCTTCGGGATCATCTGGACCCGGCCAGGAGATCGGTAAGCCTGTCCCTCACCCCCGAACCAGACTTTGAGATGAGATTTGTTTTGCAACTTTTCGACGATGCCATGCGCTCCCGCCATGATGCGACCACACCGCGGGTGCAAAGTTTCGCGGGTGCAAGCTGGCGAACTTTATATTTGTCGGACTCTAGAAGGAGAAGAAGTTCAGCTCCAACCAGGATGCCTGCTGGTGTCAACAAAACCAACAGCTTGTCTTGTCAACCAGCTCCCCTGAGTCAGCAAAATTCCCCGATGGGACGGAAAACAACAAGGGACTGAAATGGTCACACCGAAGGACGCCCTGTCCTGAGATTTAGCAGATGGTCGCACTACCACCAGACCTGACTGGACGACACCTTGAGACTGGAGGACAGTTTCGTGACTCAGTCCCGGGCCCACAAGCCCCCAGCTTAACCACTGGCAAGTTCTGTAGTCTACGGACCCCCCTCCCCCCAAGCCTCAATTCAGCCGTGGACAGCCGAGTCGGAAACCCCGACACCCCGTCATCCAGCCAGAGAGGTGGAGCCAACAGCGCTAAAACACAACGTGTTCTGATCATGAGTCCCGACCACGATTTTGCTGAAGGCGTGCAACACCTGAACTGAGCTGTTTAGTCTACCATCAGACTGCTACTGTGGTAAACATTGACAATCTATTCAGATTGGGACGCGGAGAACCTGCCTCGCCAGGAATTTTTTTTGACAGAGGTTGAATACTAGACGAAGCGTCTAGAACCTACACAGATTAATCTGTTTCTTCCCTGTCAAATTCTACCGTTGTACCTACCATGTAGATCTGTCAAATGTACACCACATAGAACTGTATTCCCTTCATTATGCTTATGTGATGATATGTGTTAGTTAAAATGATAACGTTATGCCCTGATATACCTATGTGATATTGTTAAACTTTAGTGTAAGTTTTTAGTATAAGTCAAACTTTAGATAAGTTACTTGTTCTTGTGATGACATGTTTTAGGGTAAGTTTATTACTCCGTGAAGGAGGTCAGGACCTCCGGACGGAGTGTTGTAATCGGCTGATTTTTCATGTTCGCAGTCAAAACACTGGGTTCTCTTCGTGTAATCGGCACGCAATTTTATACGCCGTCTGCGGGCATGCCCGTGTTGATGCACGAATGTGTATTTTTGCCGTTGCTGCTTTCGCGGTCAATGTAATATCGCAGACGCACCCCTACAATTACGAGGCGAATTGGAACGGTCCAGAAAAACGCGTTGTTTGGAATAGCGGGGGGGGAGGTAAAAGTTCATGCAGATACGGGGTGGTTTTTATAAGTGGTTCCAGATGTTTTTGCCCATGGTTAAGAGATGCCAAGTTTTTTGGAAGATGTTCGCAGCCAAAACGCATTCTGCCGTACGTCGCATATCTGTGTAATTTCGCATGTGGTGTTGCATTATGTCCGGGATGATGCACGTCTTTTTATTTTTACCGTAGCTGTTTTGATATTGGAGTAAATGGTTATTTTCGAAACATCCCTACTTTTACAATCCTGTGGAATAGACCGTAGGTTTAGGCAGTTGTCTGGTAGCAGAGGTACTGTAAGCAGATATCCTGGTTATCTGGCCGGCGGTAGTAACACTCGCGGTGCTTACCGCCACTGTTGCTGGAATTTGGCTTGTTCCAGGCGCGCTTAATTAGGTACAGGCACCGTAAGACGGTGGGGCTGTCTTTGTTACTAGACACGACCATGATAGTCCGATCTTTATGTGAATGCAATGATTGTGTGTGTGTAATTAAAATGAAGTTAGAACTTGAAGCACAGTATCTTTACACGCCCTGGGAGCAGTAATGGATTTAGCTCTTTGTATGTTTTATGCTTGTGACGCGCCCTCATTGTATTAACCCACGCTCCTCCGCAGCGTCCGCTAGCGCGCTATAATTAAATCCACATCTGGGCGCGCGGCGGGGTCCCCAGAGCAACACAGTGCGGAAGCATTAGCGTGTATTTGTGTCCTGGGGCCGAGAACGCATTTTGCGCAAAGCATGCTGGGTAGCAGAGTGGACTGTCCTGGGGACGAGAGTTTGTGGCGCGGGCGGAGAATGCCAAAACTCCCTCCGTGGCTAAGTTCCTTCCGCGACTAACTCCCTTCTGGGCAAATGTAGAGGGATAACGGTACACCCTCATAGCGTCACCAAATGAGGTACTTTGTAAAGGTCCGTTTCATTTGGTATATATTACCATTGTGACAGCATTTTATACCCCAAAATAGGAATCTTGCGTCTTGTTTTAGGTCCCGATAGTAGAAAGAATGCAGTGTACATGTATTCAGATGGCCGCCGTGTAACGTTACGTACTAGCGAGCGCGCACGACAATACCGCCAGAGTAGAGTAGGTTATCCTAACCCTTTAGATAGCGCAAAGAAAACAAAAACGACAGATTTGCATTAAAGAAAGTTTATTTTCCATAGCCTGGGCTAAGCCACGATCTATAACCTACGGCTTCTCCACGGGCGCTGGGGACGAGCGTGGTATTAACCGTTGCCTAATTATAATGTCTGCACAGTAGGTCTGGCGTTGACGCTTGGGATTTTGTTGAAATATATAAAACTTCACGGAGAATTGTCGCCTATGGCTTCTTGTTTGCTATTGTGATGACATGCTTTAGTGTAAGTTTTAGTGTAAGTTTACTTGCTCTTGTGATGACATGCTTTAGCGTAAGTTTTAGTGTAGGTTTACTTGCTTTTGTGATGACATGCTATAGTGTAAGCTTTAGTGTAAGTTAGGCTTAAAGTGACGATATGTTTTAGTATATATGCGATAATGATGTTATATTTCTATGATGCTGATGTTTAACTTTTGATGTATGATGATGTTTTGATGTATGATGTTATATTTCTATGATGCTGATGTTTAACTTTTGATGTATGATGATGTTTTGATGTATGATGTTATATTTCTATGATGCTGATGTTTAACTTTTGATGTATGATCATGATGTTTTGATGTATGATGTTATATTTCTATGACACTGTATTCCAATCCATGGTCAAGGTGTGACGCTATATTCTGTTGTCAGGTTGCGACACTTAACGTTCTTCCCTATTTGTTAACAGTTCTGAATAGATCAGTTTGCTGTAGAGTTTAGATTGTTCCTTAAATATTACATTGTTACATTGTTATATCTCATTTTGTAAACTTCAGGAGAAGTTTTACTTGTTGTAGGGGGGAAGAGTGTAAGGATCTAATATTCCCCCCATGGGAATGGTACAACCCGCCACCCCCGGTGGCAAGTGGTCTAGTCCTCCTTTGGAACCGGATTGATATAGTTGAGTTATCCACATGTTCTACTGAAGAATACACACTACTGCAAGTACACCTCTCGTCTCCTCTCATCATTCCCTAACCTTGGGGTGGGGGACAGGGCGAGGAAATGGTACGTTACAGTAAACTTTCCTTGGGGACAGGTTGGCCTTGCAACTGAGGAGCTAGCCTGTATACTAACCCTGGCAACAGTCTGGCACCCAGGTTACTAAATGGCTGGTTGGATACCCATATAATGTAGTTAGCTCACCAGACCATCTGCACCTATCCGCCCCCTTCCCGTGACCCTGATGGTGACCTCGATGGACCAGTGGTCGTGTCCATTGATGTACGTACTCCAGACATTACCTGTGAAGGAGAGAATACTGCAAATTCAGTTAAGTTCACAGGGACTTAATTTCAATGGTCAGTCCTAATATAATATTGAGATTTGTAACACATTAAACTTAAAAAAGATACATAATGGAACCAATTTTCTGCTTACCTCTCTTACTGCGTAGGGAGGGGGTAATACGAATTTGTTCATCGCTTGCAATAGCATCTGTAAAAAAGAACAAAGTTTGTTATTTGTTTATTGGCTCATGAAATACATTAAGCAAAAGCAAAATACATAACGTACAAAGTGTTACAAACTGTACAAGAATGGTCAATGTCTATCAACAAAATTCTGCAGCTATAGTTAGATGCAATTATCAAATTAATACATTTGTATATGACACTCTCTTTAGTGGCTGAACAAATTGTTTTCGAAATAAGTGGGATTCGGGGGAAAGATTTGCCAGAAATTTATCTAGTAAGAAAGGGTCGATTTTCGCGTTCTAATGTTACTCATTTGCGCTTTTATACAAATCTATATTGTCTTTTCAGGCCCAAGAAAGGTGGTATAAACGACCACTTCCGCATGACACATGTACCATATGGAACGCTTTTTGCCATCGCCACAGGCTCAACCACCCCAGTACTACCCCTCAAAAACAGCGTAACCCGTCTCATTCAAGGTGATTAACAAAAGAAAAGGTCCATTCAGCAACACCCAAACACCGTGGGAACAATTTAAATCCGATTGTTACTTGATTAAGGAAAGGAAATCTTGCAGACGAAAAATTATATCGTCTGTGTTGCCTGCAGCTGACTTGCGGTCTATGAATGAAAGAAAATAGAGGTTTCACTCACGTCCAGAGTAGTCCCAGAAAGGGACTTTTCCGTTCTTTTGCACCAGATGTGGTCCTTTGAAGCTCAGCTTGTACTCGAACCTTTTGTGGGGTGTCTGGGAAGAAGTACAGCCGAGAAAAACGAGGAAAATGAGGAGAAAGGCGTCCGCAAACCAGCCGGTGGCCGCCATGTTGGTGTATGTGTCACCGCGGGGCAGGATGGGTACACTTACCAACTTGGCGCGCTCTGATTGGTCAGAAGGTGGGCGGAGCTACTAGGCCAGGTGGGCACTTTCTCAGGTAGCTTTTGTGATGTTACAATAAATGTTTGAATATTATAAGATATTGGAATTTAGCGATATTGACGCGAGCACATTAAGATAATTAAAAATTCTTATGGGCATTTTTATCCAGATCTCTTTGTTGTGTTAGAATAGTATCTGACAAAAATGCTTTCTCTTACAATGCTAACATTTCAATCTAATCTTATAACATACATTGTAACTAAGGTAAATGCAAATTTGACAAAGAGCACGTTTTCTGAGGTCATCAAGGAAGAAATTCCACTTATTGGTCACTATGTGCTATCGGTACTATGTTGTTTTTATGTTTAATTTAGGAGCTTCAACAATAACGTTACACAAAATGTTATAACATTATATAACGTTACATGTACCAGATGTTACATTATATGGAATGAGATATGATGTTGCAACAACAATTACTGATGTACAACTCCAATAAAAAAGTAGAGGCAAGACAGCAGAAAAATATTCCCAATAATTTATTCCACTTCCTACTAACAAACATGATGCACTTCTACTGTTTGTTATAAAGCCTTGTGTAGAAAATGTAGCACACAACTACATGGCAAATAAGCACTGTACAAATTCATCTCAACTACACTAGCATATCTTATCCCAACCTGATATTGCCAAGTACATAATACATTTGTAGTCTCAAATAAAGTGTATTTAAAAAATAAACGTTTACTGCAGAAATATTGCAAAACAAGTTGAAAATATACACAAAACCATGGTGGTGCCATGAACAAACCTTGATTACTTGATGTGCTGTTACAGTAACTGTCACAGTAATTGAATGCTATGTAACTTTTTTTATGACAAACTGCCCTTAGTGTTAACATATTTATACTGGCTTATTGGTTGTCTTAGTAGATATTTGTGTACCTTAAAATACAAGACTGACAGTAGTGCTCATATTCATGATGCAAAAAGACATGTCAAGACTTGTAAATTACATATTTGGTTGAATACTAGTAATTGGACCTTAACGATCACAATTTGATGATAACAAATTGATAGATTCCGACTGGTCATCTGTTAGTATTAAGAATGAAATTTTTTGAATAGTTGACAGTGATCTAGCACCAAATATGGTATTAAGAAGACTGAGATGGTCTGTTATTAATAAAAACCCTTGTATCAAAAGTATGGCATGTTCAGGGTCAGGTAGTACTTTCATTGGCAACAGATATTTGGAACTCTCTACAAGATTCCACATGTAAAATATCATCATACGTGTGACCTAGTATCCTAACTTATCAAATCAAAATTCATGGTGCAACTATCATATTGTACACATACCTGCAACATACCATTTTGCAATGTTAAAAATGATAAGAAAGCAGACTACTGTACTTATCCCCTAACTTTGCTATTCTCTCATTTATCAAACTATTCTACGTTGGTACGTCTATATACCGGAATTATGGTCATAAGATGTACCTGAATTCATTAGTGACCTGTACAGTGCATTTTCTCATCCAGTTTGATATAATTACAACACAAACAGCTCTATAGAGCATTTTCACTCACTTTCCATACTGATGAAGTAGACAGGTGATGGTGGCCATGTTGGTGTCCCTATTTGCATTTCAGGGGATCAGGCGAGTTTTCACTGCGTTTTTATGTCTTATATCCAAGTATTCTTTTGGTATTCTGTGAGTTGAAGACACCGGTAATAATGGTTTATTTGAGAGTGTCAGAAGATCTGTAAATGTCCAAAAGCACTTGGGCTATGAAATGCAAATACGGACACCAACATGGCCGCCGTGTAGGCTGTTTGCACTTGAGTTCAGACCCACCATGCATGGTTGGTTCAAAATCCCTGACTTGTATTCTTAACTGTCTGCTAGATGACATTTCATTTCACACAGTTGCAAAAATGTGACTTTGTAAGAGAGGCAGGCCTTGGCAAGTCTGTGTCAATGACTGAAAGAACGAGGTAAATTTTAATCTTAATTTGAACATTGAAATAAAACCGCCAATACGTTAGCCAAAATAAAACATTTTACCAGATTACTGTAATTTCCAATTTGTACAGATTACCAATCACAATGCGAGTCCATACATTTCCCACTATCTCTATGACCACATTAGTTCCTACCCTTTCCTATTGGCTACTTCACTGCACATCAGTATGTCAATCATTACATCCCATAATATCTTACACCTGTGGCTTCCTTGGATTGGACAATGCCATTTCTAGTCCTCTTTCACTACCAACAAGACAAGGTTCTTGACTGAGGGAACATGTTTAGGCATTGTATGTCTAAAAACATGCCCTTCAGCCCTATTCCATTGTGATTCAACTTTTGACTCTCCTTACCAACATTATCTAACAAGCAAATTGTGGGGAAAGTTTGCTGTAAATGCAGTGCTAATTGGTAGAATAAATAGCATTTTTCTTCTTCAGTACTGTACTCCTTTGCATCTCAAAAGTAACCAGATCCATCACAATATCCAGGGAATACAGCGCTCAAGGCAATGTGAGTTTTTACAGACCTGAGGTACTAAATACTGCAAACACTGCTTATGTGATGATACAGACACACTTCCAAACCGATGCCTCATTGGGTAGTTTACAGGCTGTTGTTTTGCACAGCCAAAAACCCTTCCAGAGCCTGGCTAAAATCTAGATCTTGCTACACCTCTTCCCCCTCTCTCTTGAAATTGTGACTGTGGCATTAGTTAAAGAAGTATCTTCATAGTAGTGCAGTGACTGAGGACTGTAGAATGCTTAATTAGTGTGATTTTACTATCTAAAGACTGTTAAAATTTAGCTTCTGCAATAGGCATTCAAGAAAATCCACAATTTATCAGCTTCACATTTTTCAGATCAAACCTATCAGACAAAAAAATCTTCATTCTGAAATGCTTGTCATGGAAAACAGCTTGCTTTCTTACATGTAAACAAAGTATACATCTATGCATGATACAAAATAAAATCTTGAGGAAACTGTACTTTTATATGCAGATTCCTTAAACAATATATAGTTGTACAGGTATATGACCAAGTTGTGGCAATGGAAGATATAACCTGGAGTATATAAACCATTTTGTACACTCAAAACTCAAGATGGCAGTGACCATTTCCCCAAGGGTAAAACAGAACAAATTTTGCTTTACATCTTGGCCTATTCAGAGGTATGGATATTAACAATTTGTCTGTCAGTCCAGGTATTTTTGCCATTTTTCAGAACATCCATTTTTAGCAGGTCAAGTTCTGTCATTTAAAAAAAAAATTCAGCCATAACTTCCACTTGCACACATCATGGTTACATGTTCTAATATATTTTCTCGAGTCTGTATCACAAAATAAGAGTAACAACTACAGAAAGGACAAAAGTAGTACCCCCTGCATACAATGGCATAACCCATATATCTTCTACATGTTATATTAAGCGTTAAGTTATTCTATTTTGATGCAGAGGTGTGTAGGTGTTGTTCACTGAAATAAAAATGAAAATAGATTTGTGTAAAGCTTCACAATGTTACATTTTCATTGGTCTGGCCTATTGAAATAAAATCTTAATGTTTTTTTACAAAAGAAAAAAACGAGAGCTACGCTAGTCCAGATGCCGCGGATCGCCTCCTGTTAGCGGCATCGTATGTAAAACCTCGTCCAATAGCTGCAGGGCGCGGTGGAGGTGGATCTCGATCCAGCACGGCGTCTGTTTGATGCTCTGTCGCGGGTAGTCCGGTCCCCAGCCCTTCACGAAGCTCATACGCAGGATACAGAGTCGCCGCAGGTCGTCCACCCCTATACTGGCCGCAGACGACAGCCCCAGATCTGAAAGAACCCCTGAACATGAGTTTATTCAATATGAATCCAATCTTTGTGTGGACAAGGGCTCAAACAGAAAAACAAACAAACAGGGTCAATAAATACAGATGGATGAACAAGAAAGGATTATACAGGGTTAAACAACAAAAACAACCAACAAAGAAAACATACTTCTTTCGAGAAGAAAATATATCTCCTTCTTTGGGCCTAGTTTGAAATTTTTTCTTTGCAAATGTCTTACAATGCATTGCAAAATCTTTCTCATCAAAATAGGCCCAAAAGAAAGCGATTTGTTTTGTTCTTGAAAGACACACTGTAGCATTTTCTTAAACTGCATTGCAAGATTTTGCTGAACTATAAAAAAATTCTAACTGCTCTACACGGTAGATAATCTGACTCACCGATGGCAGGAGCGATCCCTCCCACAGACCCCGGCCCCGGCACGTTCCCTGCCACAGCTGCGGCCTGAGCAGCTGCAGCTGCCTGCGCCGTAGCCGCCTGCTGCTGCATCTGACGGTGGCACTGACGCAGGTCAAACACCTGCACAAACAACAGGATTCAACACTCCATCACTTTGAATGCAGATAGATACATGTGCCTTCCAGTATGGGCAGGATTGTTCATTATTACATCAGATACTCGTCAAATAATAAAAAAAGGTCCACTGCAGCAATGAAAGATAACAGCAGCTAAAAGGTCCAAAGTTCAAATTCTGTCCATTGTTACTCATACAACTTGCATGTTAACAGAAAGAGTTACAATCCTTATAAGAGGACATTAAGAAATAGTCCATTGTACTTTCAGGGAGTCTTCCTTTGTCCCTGTCATAAGCAGTCATAACAAGTAATTCCAGTACTCTACTCTAGAAGTAGATAAATGTCTGTTTCACCTTGATGTACGCGCTGGGGTAGATCTTGTGCACGGCGTCTCCCGGCGCCCTCCCCGCCTCGCGGTCCAGGTAATAACTCTGCACGAACACGGCGTGGTCGCTCAGACATCTCACCCACACGTCGCCCTCCCCTCTCAGGTCCAGCTGTACACCCTTCCCAATGTGTAACCTGAAAGATGGGGGAGGGGGGCGACTTTCAAATGACCTTCAACATCACATCAGAATTTTGCCCGTTGCAGACAATACCGGTATCTTTTCTGACACAACATTTGAAAACCATCATCATTCATCATTGGTTTAATCGGAATAAAAATCAGTCTGGAAGTATTCACTGAACTGCACCGAAATTGTCCAACAGAATTAAAATACGTGAATACGACCTTAAACAAGACCTTCTGCTGAAGTACTATGTACATTACAATGCAGGTTTCACGCAGGTGCAGTATGTTCTGCCAATGTGCTATTTTAGAGCACTTTAGTGCATTAAAAGTTCTGGTACACAGGAAAGAAAAACAGCTACAGTTCAGCCCTAGAACACAAACCTTGCCCTTTCGCTAGCCTCTGTCCTGTGCACGTTGGAGAGCTGTCCGAGGCAGAACCTGTCGATGCCTGATGGATCCGTGTACCCGTCCACAGTCACTGTGGGACAGCTGGACGGGACTTTGAAAATCTCCCCCACTTGGACGTCCATCTCAAAGTACGCGATGGAACACCAGTATTCAGGGCCTTGTGGGAGGAAAAAAACATGGCAACTAATGTAAGACATCATTTCCCTTCAATAAGAAGAAGATCAATAAAAATGACAGAGGTTTCTCAAATTTGTTGAGGTTTATTTGTATGTACATGTAATATGCATGTATGATGCTGTGTTTGAACAAATCCCACTATTAACCTTTATTGTACTAAGGGCCACACTTGTTGCATAGCACATGCAACCAAAGGTTCTAAATCATGTTTAGAAATCAGAAGATTTTACACTCAAATTCACAATTCACAAGAAACTCAAAGAAGTGTTAGGGCATCATAAACAGGTACATAAAGAAGTCTTACAAACTGTGCATATCTTACCCTTGCTTCAATCAGAACTTTTAACTCCAAATTAGAAATGGAACAGTGCAAGTTCCATACTACTAAAGGTTACAGTATAAGTTGTTATTGTTGTGTGTTTTGTGAAGAGTTGACTTGACTTACCAGGCCGTGATGAGAGCGGCATGTTTGCCAGAGCTGCGTTACTGTGGAGTTGACTGTTTCCCCCTCCTCCAGCTGTGAGGTAACATTAGACATACCTGGATCCTTTAGCAGTTCATTCTACACATTCTATAGCATCATACTGTATGCTGTATGCTATACATAACAATATCGGACAGTAGGTATAAGGTGTCATACATTTTGATTTCAAAGTTTGTAGTGTTTTTCAGTAAAATTTAAATTTTACATCTGTCCTGGTTTCAATCTATCTTCAGGCACTCTCACAGAATAAAAAAACTTTTTTACACAACCAAATGTGAGCACATGTTCCTACAGTAACTAACCCCAGTACGGTGGCGGTGCCAGGCTTCCCTCCGGTGCCATGTTCTGTGTGTACGTCGCTGTGTTGTTTCCCGCCCAAGTCGTCGTGTTGCCTGGGAAAAAACAACAGTTTATAAACTCCTGCTTTCAAAATAATCACAACAGCTAGGTATGATGGTGAGTCTGAATTGTTAAGCTTTGACACTCTTCTTCCCAAGGTAAATGTTTGCATGAGGACGAAGCACCCATGTTCCCAAGTTAAGAAAATATTATAAAAAAGGCTTGAGGTGTCACAAAAAAATGCTGTCACTGTCAGGGGCTAACTGGGCCTCTTCCCTAAGAGCTTGCCACCCACCTCAATTTCCATTCCCAGAACTAACAGTACAAGCTTCACCATAATTTCACAATGTCTTTCTAAACAGAGTTCAGTACTAGGTATCAAGGGGTATTTTTTTATTTTATTTTTTTAGAAAATCCCTGCCATGAGGACAGAAATAAATAAACAAATAAATCAAACATACTTCTGAATGGTGTGGAAGGCTGAGTGGAGACGGTGGTAGTCTCCAGAGTGGAAGGCCCCGGGGTTGCCTGCTGTGGAGGTGCCTGCTGTGGCGGCGCCTGTTGTCCGGGGCCGGACGGCCCTGCAATGTACGCGAAGACACCGTCTGAGTGAGGGGGCGTTCCAAAACCAACCATGCTCGGACCTGAATCCAAATAAAGGGTGGAATGAGTTGAAGGACCTCACAAAACAGATGAGTTCAAAGAGTAATAAAAGGTACTGGCTTTCCTAGAGTGCTGAACCTACCTACCTACCCTCTCAGCTACAGGACAACATTTCTTTAAATTTCTGTAGAGAGTCCTGAACATGCCAAACTTTCAGCATTAATAGTACAGACATTCTTTAATAACATCAAATTAGTGTTTAAAACATAGTACACCATGGCCTTACCTGGTCTGTTCAGTCCGTTGGGGTCCGAGTGCGACATCCCAAAACCATTGGTGACAGGAGCTGCCGCTGATGAGACTGTAGAAATCAAACAAAAAACATTTCAACTCTCACTACAAAGGAAGATAAAACTCTGAATCTGTGCAAACCTGCCTTTCCAAGAAACAAATACATGTATTTCATTCCTTTCAAGACTTATTTGAGATAATTTCAAAGAGCCAACTTTTGGTTGCACTATTGATACCCTGGTGAAAATACAGTGTATAGTGAAATTTTCATTTTTGTTTGCCAATGGAGACAGAATGGTCTATTTGTTTTCTCTATCTTGAGCCTAAATAATTGTCCTGGAACATAACAACATTTTCTACAGAGCGCCCTGTAACCATCTAACAACAAGAATGCGTACTATGCTTAGTGGTCAATAGAGAAGGCAGTGTTGGACATATTGACATCAAAATTCCAATGTCCCTAGAAACAGCCAAGGGCATTGGCTAGGAGAGTACCTTGCTTTCAAAGGCTGGAGAATTTCTAGGCAAATTTCCAGGGATTTTAAAAGACATAGATTAGAACAGGCACAAAAAGGGAGTTTGACATTATAATCAACACAGCACATGAAAAATAACAACAAATGTAGAGCCCCAAAGTAGGAAAGATACTACGTTCAAACCTAGGAAAAGTAAACCATTAGAAATATTCAGAGACGTACGAATGTTGTCATATGGAGACAAAATTCTGTCTGTTTCGGTAGAAGAAAACTCACATGACATGTCTGGTCCTTGCAAAATGGATGCAGTCTGACTCACTGTTAGTCAGACTAAAGTGATACAACAGAGTAGTACAAGCCTGCAGTACATGAATAGTCTGCTAGAAGGCACTGCTTCACTGCAGTGTCTCCCCTACCTGATCACAAGCGCAGTGTTGACAACATGGGATGGGAGAAGCTGTCAAGGTGAGAATTTAACGTGGGAAAGGTATATCCCTGCAGTACAACAACAGACCACAAGAGGGCAGTGTTGCACTGCAGTTTCTACCCTACCTGATCACGGGCCTGGTGTTGACAACATGGGATGAGGGAAGCTGTCAGGGTGAGAATTCAAGGTGACTAGTACACGCCCGCAGTACAACGACAGACTGCAAGAGGGCAGTGCAGCACTACCCTTACTACCATATCCTACCTGAGTGTGGTGTTGACAGCATGGGATGAGGGAAGCTGTCAGGGCGACTCTGTGTGTGGTTGGAGGTGTGTTGTATAGTCTGGATGGACTGGGAGGAGTCGGAGGTTCCTGGTGTATTGTACTGGTTCCCCTCCACCTGAACACACTCATGGACAAACTCATCCTTCACAAGTCTGCTCGGAGGAGCTGTGGGGGGAAAAAACTTTGTTTTAACCCTTGTCCTGCGGGGCCGATATATATATATGTGTCGCACATACAGTACCATCTATATAGTGCCCTGTATATGTACGATTTGGGGGTGTTCCTTGTGCAACACATCATATCGCAGCGAGCCACCGCGGGGCAAAAAAGTCAAGGGTCTGTGACCTGATTAAGACTTCAAATTAAGGGATTCCCACTTTCCAAGCAGTGGTTTCAGTTGTGTCACATCCCTAGTAGATGTAGTGGCCAAAAAAACTCCTACCAAAACTTCCTATTGGAAACTAAAGAAGCTACCCTTTTTTATTCTAGAGTTTTTCATACATGCCATAGGACAAAATGTGACAATTAATGTACACTTCAGTACCAGTACTTACACTCAATTCCTTTAGGAGTGGTCACAAATTTCAAGAATTTTTTAGATACATGTCAACCCACATACATGTATCTTTTAAAAGTGACCTTCTGTGCAACTGCATTGTACAAAGTGTTTACATGTGCTTTCTATATGAGCCTGTCAGGCTAAATGACGTTAGAAACAACTACAGTCAAACCTGTACTAGCGGTCACCTTTGTATAGTGGTCACTCGGCCATAGCGGTCAGTTTTTGCCGGTCCCTTAAATTTTTCCCATTGACGTAAGCATTAAGAATCGTGTCTATAGCGGTCACTGTTCAACGCGGTCAGCGGTCACCCCATTCCGGTCCCGCCGGCATGTCAACACCGCCGATAGCGGTCGGGGCTGGCCGTAACCCGCTAAGCACCACGGCCGTAACACCACCCCACCTCGGGCTACGACCGTTATGAGCCTTGTGATAATTTTCCGATCGCTACATTACTAACATGTGAACTGAAAATTAGACTCCATATGTGTATGAAATAAAGGAAAACTGGCTTTTGACACGAAGTTTCTGCGGTCGCGGGTGTCTTTGATATCTGCGTTTTCCCCAACACCAGTGCCGTGCGTGCCGCATTGGAGCTTTCAATGGACTCGGCCGCTCGGCGAAGATTACGGCAATTATCTTCACAAAAAAACTTAAGAATATCCATATTTGGTTTCTCGATTCCTTGAAATGCGTAGATATGTGCATAGCTTCCGTTTTTCATGGGCATAATTCAAGAAATTTGGCTCGAAAATGCGTTTCGTATTTTTCCAAGATGGCGCATGTTAGCTGCAGAGGGAGGTCAATTGGGGTCATCGGAGATTCCACTGTTATGGAGGTAGATACACTGAGTTTTATTTAACTTTATTAGCGTCAAATGACGTAATTACATTATGAAAACATTTGAAATACATTACTACAAGTAATTTTAGATGTAATTTTAACACTGTAGTGGATATTTTAGAAAAGATATAAGTCTGAAAGGAGAAAATTTTCTGTTGACTACCACATTGGCATAATGGTAGAGGCAGACAACCCACGCGGGGAGAAACCCAAGCCGTAAACAAAGGAGAGTTTTCGCTAAGTTTTCATGTTCAAAAACGACCAAAAACGGAAAGTAACTGGCAACTGACGAACAATTATTTTGCTGTTAACTAAATAGACAGCATCTTGGTACAAAATAACTTATTTACGTGGTTGGAATTCGCTGTGGCGTATGTCGGTCGCGCGAAGCAAGTGTTCACCAAAGAACAAAAACATGGCGATGTCGTTCTCTTCCACTTTTCGACTAACAACAACAACAACTAATACTAGTAACGTGGCGATTGCGGAGAAACGATGGCGAAAGCGGAAAGACAGACGCCGAACTTATTCCAAAAGGTGGATGTGATCCGACTGGCAGATAGAGTGAGAAGAAATCGTCGAAAGCTGAGCTTAGATTAAATGATTTTGCAGTCGATAGAAATTTGTTTGGAGTTGAAAGTTTGTTGCTTGATTTGCTTTCTTTTCTTTAGCCACATGTAGTACTAGTATGTACACAAGAACAGTAAATGACAACCAGTGATTTTGTATGTTTTAATGTGAATGGTTTCATTGTCCCAGAAGTAGATGAACTGAATATGTTGAGTGTATGTATCTTTGATGTCAAGTTAATGTTTCCATGCAATATTTCTGTATGATTCTGTATTTCTTTTTTTTTCAAGCAAGTACAAAATAAAGTACAACTAAAGCAAAAGAACAACAAATTATTGAACTAAGACATGTACACATAAAAGGGGTTTACCTTTGCAAATGTATGTATTCATATGTTTCAGAATAAAGACATCACTGTTGGTACTCAAAGCATGTGTCCCTTTTTTTTTTGGGGGGGGGGGTCAACTAACCGGCTGTTTCTCTATAGTGGTCACCTGGCC